CTCTCTCTCTCTCTCTCTCTCTTCTCTCTCTCTCTCTCTCTTTCTCAGCTTCTTCTTCTCCTCTTTTCCTGATCTGATTCACATTGTAGCTCTGGCCAACACTTTGCCGAGCCCAACTATGCTTCTACAACTACTCCTTTTGGCAGTGAGAACCATATCGCTGGCCCTTGCTGGTCCCAATGAGGCATTGAAGGCATGCTTTGGGAATGTTCTGACAGACCGCGGAAATTTTGCCTTTGCTGGCGATCTGTTCTATGACCGCATTGTGAATCGCTACAACCTGAACATTCCGGTTACTCCAGCAGCAGTGGCCTTTCCCACGTGAGTGTCCATGAAGATAGTGATTCATTTTACCCCTAGCTCATAGGCCATAGCTCTACTCGAGAGGTGGCTGCTATAGTCAAATGCGCCGCAGACAACGGATATCCAGTCCAGGCCAAAAGTGGAGGGCACAGCTATGGCAATTACGGTACACCCCAACCACCCTGGCTCAGAGGTAGCATTGTCCGATGACTAAAATGCGATATATGACAGGTCTTGGAGGAACGGACGGTGCCGTTGTGATTGACTTGAAACATCTCCGACAATTCTCCATGGACAACACAACTTGGCAAGCGACTATTGGGGCAGGAAATCTGTTGAGTGACGTGACACAGCGGCTGCACCACACTGGTGGACGGGCTATGTCTCACGGAATTTGTCCTCAAGTCGGTTCTGGGGGCCATTTCACAATTGGTGGTCTTGGCCCAACTTCACGTCAATTTGGTGCCGCACTTGACCATGTACTGGAGGCTGAAGTGGTTCTTGCCAATTCGAGTATTGTAAGAGCCTCTGCCACGGAAAACCAGGACCTCTTTTGGGCGATCAAGGGTGCGGCCTCGGGCTACGGTATCGTTACCGAGTTCAAGGTCCGAACTGAGCCTGAACCTGGTACTGCGGTGCAGTATACATACAGCTTGGAGGTTAGAAACTCCAAGCACCAGGCAGAGCTTTTCAAAAGCTGGCAGGCCTTTGTGTCAGATCCCAAGTTGACTCGAAAGATGGCATCCACCCTCACTGTGCTTGAGGGTAGTATAGTAATCAGCGGTACCTTCTTCGGCACCAAGGAGGAGTATGATAAGTTGAAACTTGGCAGCAAGTTCCCCGGTGCAAATGGCAGTGCATTGGTTTTTGATGATTGGTTAGGTCTTGTTGCCCACTGGGCCCAGGACCTTATTTTGAGGTTGGCAGCTGGAATCCCAACCAATTTCTACGCAAAGTCTACTTCTTGGACTCCCCAGACTCTGATGACCTCAGAGACTATCGACAAAATGTTCGAATACATTAGTACCATTGACAAGGGTACTTTAGGCTGGTTTCTATTGTTCGATCTCCAGGGGGGTTACACCAGTGACATCCCAACCAACGCTACATCGTACGCCCATCGTGACGTACTAATCTGGCTACAGTCCTACACAATCAATTTCTTGGGACACATCTCCCAGACTCAGATTAATTTCCTCGATGGGCTGAATAAAATTGTCACCGACATGGCCCTTCCCTACACTGCCTACCCGGGTTACGTTGATCCTCTTCTGCCCAATGCCACCGAGGCATACTGGGGCACCAATCTCCCCCGACTACAGCAGATCAAAGAGCAAGTTGATCCAGATAATGTGTTTCGGAATCCACAGAGCCCATCTATCTACCGCATAAAAGGAGCCTTTGTGACAAATCATCGGATCTTCCACACTCAGAACTACGCTGAGCAGTCATAATCAACTCTTTGTTAGATCATTTAGAAATATGGTAATTGAAGGTTGACTTGATCGAGACGAGAAAATCTTGCATCTCTATTTATCTGGGTGTTTCTATCCATTCTCACCTTCTTGCTTCGCCGCCCATTCTTCACTCTGTCGAGACGTCCATTCCCAACGAAGCGTCCACATCTCTCGATACAGCTTCTTCGAACATTCAGGGCACATTCCTGACTTTGGATGAAGCCGGTTTTCGGGGATTCCAATGATGCCAATATTGAGAGCTCGTAAAACACGTCCTGTGCAGCGCTCTCGGTGGGAGAATGGAACGCCGAACTCTTCACACCGTTCAATTCGTCCGAAATGAATACAGTTGCACATCTTCCACATGTCATATGTCTGCACGCACATTTTAAGGGTGCTTCTCTGTAGCGTAAGTCAATGGAAGGAATCTAGACACTAGATGGTGTATTTGAGGTTCGGTTTTTGAGGTGGGCTTCCTTTGTCAGAGTGTAGGATCTAGATGGTGATTATATATTCAGATACTCTATGATCTTCCAAGGCATTGCTCTTCAATCCTTTCTTTGTTTCTTTGTTGTGTCGCTTGGAGCTGTTCTCTGTGGTTATCACGACACCAGGTCAACAAAGACATACACCGAACATTGTCTCCAAAGGAATGGTCAATGACACAGCGAATGAACAGACCTGCGGCAAGTATCAAAAACGTTAAACGGGTATTGGGTATCTTGGTAGTTTGTTAGGCAGCACAAAACCTTTGGTACATTAGGTCTTTGGCATAATACACCACCACCCAAGCTTCGATTTCAGCTGAAGAGATCTAGTTTCTTGATATCTTGACATTGCGAGACTTCGAGATGTCGAATCATATCTAAAGACTCAACTACGTATGGAGCATAAGAAACTTAAGGATTGGAGATGACACAAAACCAGAAGAGACTAATCAATTCAGAACTATGTCACCATCTACGCTAAAATGAAGACCGATTTCTAGTTTGCTTTGACCTTGCCTTCAGTCGCATTGTTAGTGCTAGTGTTCGGTATGTACTCAAGGGCATGTCAAACATCAAGCTGCTGACCAGTCCCTTTGATCACGGCTGAGTCGCGAGCCACTACTCTGTCCGGCTTTTTCGGGGTTTCATCGCTCAGATTTTGTTGCGAGTCCCTCTGATTGCTATAGTCATTTGCCACATGTGTGAAAGTGACTGGCTTGGTGGCAAAAGATCTACCAAGCAACAAAAAGAGCGTAACCCAGATAGAAGGCCATGCATCATGCCAGTCAAAAAGTCTTTATTTAGGAAGTGACTATCTTTCCAGCTCTCCCTGTGTAGCCTGGGTGCAGTATCAAGATGATCGTCGTTGACTAATTCGGACACGAGTCACGACATCGGGGCCATGGCAAGCTGGGATGTCTGCAACAGGGATCAGAGGGAAACTATCTCTTGTATTTCCGTTTCTTACCTCCTTGAGGTAGTTGTATGTAAAAAAGGGTATAAAAACCGGTCTAGCCATAAGAACATGACATTCAATCCACATAATGACCTATTCAGTCACCATGTATCGTGAATTAAAAGAATGGATAAAATAACCAAACAAGGAAAAAGGTAAGTGGGCCAAGAAAGCAAGAAAAGGAGGAAGAGAATGAATGTCGGACAGGTGAAAAGGATGAAAATGAAAATGAACGACAATGTACGGGACAACAAGGCACATGGGAGACCGGCTCTATGGCACTTCTTTGTCGCCTCGTGTCAGACCACCGGGCACATTGATTGCATCACGCACCCAAACAATAGCAGCAATCTCATCGAGGGTTTTGCGCTTCGTGTTGCGCTTGAGAAGACCTTCCACACAGTCACGGGCCCCTTCAAGTCCTTTGCCCTTCTCGGGGTCCCATTCCTCCTCGTCGTCGGCATATCTATACCAAGCCCATTCACAACGTGCGATACGATGAGGAGTCCGGGCACGAAGTTTGGCAGGATCTCCTCGGGTGCCAGGCAGAACATCAAACGGTAACCGATTCTCCATGATGGCATAAAGTAGAACACCGAGTGCCCAAGCGTCGGTGGCACGACCATCGTAAGCCTGACCCATCAGAATCTCGGGGGCTGCGTAGTCCTCGCTGCCACATCGGGTCTGCAAAAGTGGGCTCTCGGGTGGTTCGGGGATACGTCGCGACAGGCCGAGATCGCTGAGAGTGACCACAGCGCGATCGTAGGTACGCCAGTCTTGCACGTCGTCCATAACATAAGCGGGCATTGTAAGCAGAACATCTAGGTATGTCAGTTGAAGGTGTACGGTGATTTGGCACGTGCTGACTCACTTTCTAACTTGATGTCCCGGTGAACAATGTAATGGGCATGTAGATAACGCACAGCATCAACTAATTCAGCAAAGATACGTCGAATCAAACCCGCGGACATGCGAGGAGCACCTGACGTGGCAAACTCGAACAAGTCTCCACCTGGACAATAGTCCAAAACCAACAAAGCACGCCTTTCATCGCTGCCGAATGCTTTCAATTGGACAAGAGACGGATGATTGACTGACTTCAAGATTTCGACTTCGCGTTTGAGTGACACCTCCAGGCGGCCCTCATCCGCGCCTCCGGCGGGTCCATGTTCGATAATTTTGACGGCGACCAACTTCTGGTTGTTGACAAATCCATGGAATGTGCTAGCTTCATCACCATCCAGCGACAAAGGCATCTCGGGAATAGGTTCCACACGAGCTGCCAAACTGACCTGACTGAACGTGCCCTGGCCCAATACCCGGACTTTTTGGTAGATGCGGGCCTGCTCGGTGCGGACCGACCGAACAGAATATATCTCCTTGGGCGCAGAGAGAGGAGCAGGGTGGCGGAGGACGGGTTCACTGTCGCTATATCCACTCCCACTGCTGCGAGGCGGGCTGGGAGGACGAACGGTCGGCAACGTGATACCTCGATGAACAGCGAGATATTGCTCGCGATGAAGTCCATTGGACTTCAAATCTATACTCGACGACGAGCCAATGCCAAGCCCGGTATTCCCCGGCACTGCAATCGGACGGGGAGGGACAGAGACCCGGCCGGGGGGCGCATAGTCACTTAGACTGCGGTTCCGAGAATGAGTATGTTTCGATGATGAGTCGCGACGAAACCAATTGTTTGCGGATGACTCTTCCCCTTGGCCGTCAATGCCAGTGTATGGTTTGGCCCGCGAACGGGGCCTGACGGGTGGCCCAAGCACTTGTGTTGAATCGCTCAGACGAATGCCAGAACCGTTGCGCGAGGCCACCGATGAAGAACGAGATAACGACGGCAGATCAGATCTCCGCCACGGCGAGCCTATTCCAATGGGTGACGGCAGCGGAGTAATGTCACCCATCGCATTCAATTGAGGCGAGGATATGAAGGATGCCGGGGACAAGGAACCCGCACTGTAAATAGGCGGTGCGACGAGGGCGAGAAGACTCGGGGTACGGCGTGGACAACTTCCGGACAAACTGATCGAAGCATAAGGATCGGAGTCTCGCGAGCTGGACGGACGAATGTTGGGTAGATCGGTGCGAATCTGTAGAGATGGCAGTGACGACTCGGGGTTAAGTATGGAAGGCGTCAGGTCGTCTGCCGAAAGAGGGCCACCCACTTCCTCTTTCTTTGTATGTTCATTGTCGCTTGCATCTTGAACCATTGTTGACATGGTCAATAGACCGGACTCGTGCAGCATTTGTAAAAGAAAATGTGTGGGAGGATGACTCGGCTGCAAACGGAAGGCCGGGAGCGCTGAATTCTACCCTCCAGAGTGCGGGGTGGGAGTCACAGAATCTTAAACGGGCAAAGATAAGACTTGGGAACCCCCCCCCAACTAAGCCTCCAGGCCTAAATGGCCTTAGCGTGGGAAGACCCGTTAAGGGTCACGGATCTCTAGGTATCGCGGAAGCTCGAAACCGAACGCAAGAAAGACTATAAAAGAAGAAAATGGAGAACCGAGTAAATGCAATTAGAAAGGAGAAGCGCCATGGCTGGGCGATGCAGCGAACAGAAAGGAAAAAAAAAGAAATTCGAAAACGAAAAATGACCTGGCCAGGATCAGTCGGAGGCGCTAGTCAGCTGACGATCCTAATATAGTTAGCTTCCCATGTGTTCCCCGCAGGTTTACCTTGAGTTTATACTGCAATTTAATTTAGCGAAATGACGGAATTGAAATCAAAGGTGTTGGTTTTTATTTAATTTATTTAATTTCCTCTTCAGATTAACTCAATAATTCTAAATTGCTTGACTGGACTCACCAAATGACCTTTGTCTTTTGATACTGCGTCAACACTGTGACCCCCGAAGATGTTTGCTTCGAATGTAGTTCCAAATGGGGAAGGTGGTACGCCTATCATCTGGCCTTGTCTGTGGGGACCTCAGGGCTCAGGTGTAGGAGATCACAATGTAGAATCATGTCTATGCTCTTTACATCGTCCGCGGGACACTTCATTCGCTTTCACACAAATTTCAATATCTTTGGGACCCTTGCATAGGTTGGGTCCAGAGTCCCTTTATCTGCAGTCATGTAGGGGTCCTGTGCGCCACTGGCGAGAACTAATTTTAGCCATCGCCGCTGCCCCCCAAATCAAAGCATTCTCTGCCTTGGCATGACTGACCGTTTGACGACACTCAGTTTTGTCCTACAGCCCTGGAGCACAATGTACTCCGTACTCTGTGTGTCCAATTCTGACGCATTGCGAACAGATAGGCTAATTCTTCATTCCTGAGAGTTAGCCCCGGTCTATCCCGGTGTCACCCATTCTCCCGATAGATCAGCACAATGTCGCTCGGATCATCTTTACGGCTACTGCAGGAAAGCCGTCGAATGGCAAGGGGCACTCTATGTGCATACGTTCAATTAATTCGAGGGGGTGTATGGCAAGTTCGAAGGTTGGCGGGTGTATTTTTAAGACAATTCGGGATGGAGGTCCCTATTTCCATTCCACCATCGAGGTCAAGATCAACTGCAAAACAAATCACAACTTAAGAGACGAAAATTTCAGGCACAAAAATCGTCGATCGGCGCCGTGTCATGCACCCCAGCACCGTGCCAACTTGCTGCCTGAACAAAGTGGCTGGGAGTCTGCACCCTGGACCCGACCGCGGCGGGGCTCTATCTGGTGAATCGTACACTTCAGACCAAATATGATGACGTTTAAACTATTAACAACAGGCGTTATTAAGTGGGAGTGTTGGCTTTTGGGCCACGCTTCTCATTTGCCAGGTGAGTACTCCGTATCTGCGAGCTGGTTGCTCATTTGCGCATACAATGCGTCTCGAAGTCGGATGTCTGCAGATGTCTGCATTCCAGGCTAGTGGATGAATGTAATTAGAATTCTATTCCATATATCAGTCATTCACGTCGCAGAACTCATCCAGACGTTGATTCTGAGCCTAATATCGCACAATCTGGTTCCAAGTCGTCCGCCCACAGGGTGTGTTCATCTAGAGAATAAGCTAGCGAATATGACGATCCACCCCCTCAAGCTAGTTAAAATTCTTAATCCTAGTTGCTACCACCCCGGCGTGCCTTATTGCAACATCATGTAAGGCTAGCGTTGGGACCTACGCTACCTGTGGCTCAAGAGGAGCAGCCTCATTTGTAACCTCGAATCCGTATCCAGAACGAGGAGATGAAGATATAGGTAGGACTATCGAGGCAGTTGTTGCATTCAATCTCTCATGTGGGACGCTGACGCCGAACGCCGAAAGTCAAGAAATTAAAGATAAGACCCGAATTTACGCGGATTCGACAGCTAGTTTCAAAACAGCCGAGATATCGTTTTACATCTTTCCTTCAAAAGCCATCTGGGTTGGGAGGTTGACCATCCAGTTTTGCACACGAATTCCCGACTTGGGGCCCTCTATCCTCTGCGACTGGAATCAGATTATCTTGTATACAATGGCGTCTCTTCCAAACTTCGATGATCTTCCTCCAGTCAAGGGGATGCCGCAAGGCTGTGCATGGGGCATCTTCGACAAAGACGACAGGAAGGATCTTCTAGGCACCTTGAATCTCCTAACCCCAGAAGTTGTCCAGAATGCTGTCGCAGAGGTTCGCCAAGGCGTGTCCATCTCTCTGAAGTAAAAAGCTCTTCACTGTCCCCAGACGATAATCCCTAACACCAATAGTTGGCCCATTGGAAGCATCAAAATTCCAGGGTTCTTTCGAAAAAGCCTCTGTCACAATGTCATGAAGCTGGAAGACTCGGTATCTGGCAGCCACTATGGGTTTGATGACGAGGTATTTCGCTGCCTAGTCGTTCTCTCCTAACAGAAGCTAATCAATTCCAGCTCGAATTCAACACCCAAGCTAGTAGTCAATGGGATAGTTTGGGTATGTCCACGAACGCGATTTTTTAAGGATAAAAGAGTTCACTCCTACCTCAGCTCATTTCATGCATCTCCCAACCGGCCTCGTCTACAACGGAGTGAACCCAACAATCGAAGCGTTTCAAACCCCCGAAACTGTCCAGCATCTCCCGACACTAGACCGTAAGAAAATTCCAATAGAACTCGAATCCAACACTGGAAAAGGCTAATGGAGAAAACCAGACTGGCACCAACGCGGTTGTGTGACAGGCCGAGGCGTACTAATCGACTTCAAGAGTTACGCGCAGAACCACGGGATAAGCTACGACCAATTCTCTGGCTTCCGAATCGGGATCAGCGAGCTAGAAGCAGTAGCTGCCTGGCAGGGACTAACCTTCCTAGCAGGAGATATCCTACTCATCCGATTTGGCGTAACAGAGACGCTGGCTCAAATGACTGGCGCAGAGCAGGGCGTTGCAATGAGCAGCGGCAAGATGTGTGGACTGGAGGGAAGTAAAGAAATGGCGCGCTGGCTCTGGGATCGGCATTTTGCCGCTGTTGCTAGTGATAACACTGCTGTTGAAGCTATGCCGCCTCTCATTGACGGTGTTGAACAGTCTACCCATGAGCTAGTGTTGCATCAGTGGTGTCTGAGTTTGCTGGGTATTCCACTTGGGGAGCTTTGGGATTTGAAAGTACTGGCTCATACGTGTAGGACTAGTAGCCAGTATTCTTTCCTGCTTACTTCGTCTCCGCTGAATGTTCCTGGTGCTGTCGCGAGTCCTCCCAATGCACTGGCCATTCTGTGAAGAAAACATGTCTTATGACGCATAACGGCTTTGACGAGTCTTGATCTGGTTTGTTGTAAACTAAATTTCTGGTGGTTTTTCTTTATAGAGATTTGAAGCAATGGAAGTTCCAAATTGCAGAGCAGGAAGGCCTTCATCTGTGTGGGGAAAAGATTCGAGTATCCACTTTGGGTTCCACATGGCTTGTTCGGTGGGCCCCCGGAGTATTTATAGACGGGTGTCACATTCCGAGGTTGTTCGATGGGGGCATGATAGTCTACCCCCGATGTAAAACTTGTTGCCCCAGTGAGATAGACCATGGCATGTTGATTTTTGTATATTTCTTATTTCAAACAAGGATGAAGTCAAAATCTGCTTCCCTTGCAATGTCCTGCCATTGTACATCTACGTGCGGTCCAGCCGCTGTCCGCCGGTTCCACAGAGTTCGAATGATCCCACATAAGGCATTGATACTCTGTATGCCCTGCCGAGTTTTCCGCTCAAAGAATGCCAACATACGATCCTGCAGATCACGTCGCTCGCAGTCAGCCGCAATCACAAAACTTGCCCAGTTGTAGGGACAGCCGCCTTTGTCACGTGTGAGCGCATCGGCAGATTCAAGCTCGTGTATTGCTTTCTCAATCAGATCCTGTACATCGCACAGTGGTGCCCTGCGAAAGCTGCGGCGGAAATAAACAATTGTGGCGTAGTAGAATGAGTTTAGAGCGTGTTGGACGATAATCGAACCCGGGGCATCCGGGTTAGACAGGGATGGAAATTTCAAATAGAGTTGAAGTTCCAGCTGGTCTAGATCCTCCACAGATAGTTGTGCCCGGGACTCAACAAGTGTGGTAATCTGAGCGAGGGATTGAACCAGTGGTGTTGTGACTCCATGCGATTGCTCTAGGTAGTGCTGGAAATCGGAGGGGCCGTTTAAAAGTGACATGAGCCGTTCGGGTATAGGAAGACTGCATAGTGACGAAAGAGACAGGTAAATTTGAAGCAGCCGAGCAGCAGTAGGACTTCGGATCCAGTCCCCATGAACTTCATTCTGTAAGAGACCAAGACATCCAGAAACGTGTGCTCTCCATCGGCTGGGCCGACCAGACATTGCCTCAGTCGTAATGCAAGTGATAACGGCAGTTAATGTGGGCTCATCTAGGCAGCGGACCCGCTGCAGGCTTCCTCGTAAATGACGCAGAGCCAGATGGTCATGGTAGAGGGCGATGGAGTGGTACCGCGAATCATGGCGAAGATGAGAAAGGCTAAAGGCAGAAGAGGCACAAATGGCATGGAAGATTGAAAGATGAATGTTCGACTCTGTTGGGGGGGCATCGAGGCCTTTCAGAGCAAGAGGCAGGAAAACAGCCCGGCAGGGATTGTCCGGAGTGTCGATTAGGAGCATGTTTCTGCTGAGAAAACTAACCCAGTGGTGGATCAGTTCGGTCTCTGGTCCTAAGGGAACCAATGGGCCCATGGAGTTCCAGAGGGAGATATCAGTCTCATTGCTGTGGATGTTGGGCACAGGTCTGCCGTAGTCCCTCAGTTCTGATAGCCTGTTGTCGGGCTTTTTGTGATTGACGACACGAGTGGATGTGTTTATGGAGATGTCAGAAACCCGAGGATTAGGCTTTGGTAAAGCCGTACATGATTCCTCGTGGGATTCAAACGTGGATGGTGCGGCAATAGATGGTAACCCGTCTGATGTTGACTTCGGTGGAGTTACCTCGGCATCTCTGTCGCCAACTGGTGAGCTAATTGAGTGCGACGAGGTATGCTGTGCATCTTCGGAATATTGAGTTGACAGTGTTTTTTCCAAATTAGGTAGGACAACACGGCATGCATCTTGGGTCTCCGGGCTCGACAAAACAGAGAACACCGAAAATGGTCCTCGTTGTTGGGCACTGTCCCCTGAATATTCATCCAACTCAACCAGCAGTGCCATCACAGCGGCAGATGACAGCTCATGGTCGACACATGGTGCTAGGGGTCGAAATCGACGACGATGAGAGCGAACCCCGGGGATATGAGACCATGCTAGGCGCAAACTATACCCTTTGCACGTCCAACCACTCCGCTGGCACCTTCGACAGCGAGGGTGTTCTTCGTCGCACTTAACTCGACGCTCTCGACAAGTCCAACACCCAGTGAAGGTCTTTGTACGTCTTTTTGGGAATTTGTCCTTGTTTGACGGTATATCCAGCATTGCCAAGGGTCTGTAGACGGATGAAAGCTCTGGTACGGGTGACTAAAATTGGTTCCCGTTGCCCGCATGTCGGCAATCCCCGGCCCACAGCCGCCCCATGAGCGCTGAAGTTGGCCGGCAAAGAGTTTGAAGTTGTATCAAAGACAGCCTGCTTTTTTCATGTCAATGTATCTACAACTGGGCCTAATTCTAGAGAGCATGGTTTGCATCAAAGCAAAGCACTGACAATATATTTACAAGGCAACTGCTAGATAGACACATGTTCCTCGGGAGAATTTGATACAAATTTGCTAATATGAACTACTCGAAGAAATTGATCCACAGGATTTTGCTTCGGTTAGAAGGAAGTGTTGTAGTGGCTCCTAACAAAAAAGCCTCCAAAAAGGAAACATCTTCATTTTGATCTTTCTTGTTAGTTCTTCCGATTCGCCGCATGAGTTTCCGACATATCGCCTCTTGGATCGAAGCACAAAGCGCGGCAAATTTCTCAACTCGGCATTTTGAAGAGCTCTGCAACAATTCGATATGATTCCAAAGGTACAGCAGCAACAAAGAGAATCTAGATACCAATTTCTCCTCTTGATCTGGATTCAAGCTTCAATTGGGCAAAGTTCCCGGACGGGAAATGGTGCCTGTTAGATGATGTCAGGTATACTTATTTGATGGATTTCTGTCGAATGATTCACCAAGTATTGTTAAAATGGGCAGCGCATGTCGAAAGTGGTACCTGGGGGGTCTCAAGGTAGGTGGCACGAAGCATTTTGAGGGAGTTAACAGGGCAGGGCTCACGCAACCACAGACACTCCTCGCCTCTGCGGATACCGATCGTTCTTCCTGGGGCTACCTAAGTTGAGATAGCTATCCATTGTCTGAACAACTACCAAGTTCCACTGCCTTGGTGAAGAGATCAAATCCATAGTAAGAATCCAAGGTTTCTGATGTGTTCCCTTTTGTATTTTGTAGCCCATGCGTGCTACCTGGGATAGTGGCATTTGTGTTCTGACGGCGGAATATGTAACAAGTCTATTCCTTTGGGGTTAGTCACAGACTAGGACCCGGGTGCTAGAATAGAGACGGAGGGATAGACATACAGGAAGGCCACACGCTCGGATATTACGCTTATCTGTCCAAGTGCCGTTAGCGTGCGAACCATCAGGCCCACTTTCTCGAAGCTCAACGGAGACTGTTTCATTTCGCAGCTCAATTGTCAGCACGGATGTGAACTTCACTTTTTAGACTGGGCTAGGAAGTATGAGAAATTGTCTATTGGAAGTCACTCGCAGCATTAAGATACGTTACTGACAGACACTTGCAAGTGCCATGGCCAATGAATCGCGGATATGCAAGAGACTTTTCTATGTACACAGAAGAAATACAAAGTACAAACCCAGTTGCACATCCCATTCCCAACCCACGCATAAATGCGAAACATGAAGTTTGAAGCGCCGGAGTGAAGAGACCCGCAGGGGGGAATAAAAAAATAGTTGTAATACATCGCAAGGGAAAAGACAAAGTAAGGCGGCTAATCGTCAACCGCAAATGTCGTTCAAGGGTAGCGTAGAGGGTATGGAGTTTCGGATAACCGAGAAGCGGAGTAGAATAAAACTGGCCATGCTAGCAATCTAGAAGAAGGCCTTTCGTGTCACCTGTAGAGTTGAAGTCAATAAAAAGCCTCACAGCACATCATACCAGTATACATACAGCCCAGGCACCAGCAATGGAAGCCACAATGCCGCCAGAGATCATCATAGGCTTAAGTCCGCGTGTGCTCTTGAAGACCATGCCGCTCAAAGCGCCGGCGACGATGCTGTTAGACGCGTCATGCTTGCCGCGCACATATCCGAGGCCCGAGTTGAACCCGTTGTAAACCATAGCCACAACACCGGCCGAGTTTCCGAGGAATGGACCGCGACGGGTAACCGAGTTGAGCACACTGTTAAGACGAATTTTCGGTGCTGCCGTAGCTGGTGTCTTTTTCAATCCTTCTACAAGCCCCCATGCGCCTCCAGTAGTGAGTGCAACAAGGTAGGTAGTGCCGGCACCATAACAAAGGTCGTCTGACCATCCACGGGATGGCAACACCGATCGGGAGCCGGGGAGTTGGTCAAGGGCGGAGTCGTCAAGGGAGAGGTAGTCGAGGGTATCCTGGTTCAGACCAGCCAGGGGGTGGAGGCGAGAGGGATCGGGGATAGCGACCTCAGAGAGGAAGGATGTGGCATCTTGCGCGGTTGAAGGGTCGAAGGCATCGGGCACAGTTTGCTTGCGGCCGCTGAGGGAGTCCCAGATGGACATTGTGAAAAGAGATATGGAAAGATAGAGGATGGAAGGTAAAACTACAAGAAACCTAAGGGCAACCTTGAAGGGTAGGGGCAGATGACTGGAAAAGAACTGATGACCCTGTGTTCGCAGCTCCACTGGCATCGGAACAGCAAAAACTTCGGTCCCGTGACTTCTGGCGATCCCACGGATAATAGTTTGACCGAGAGGTATGCGCTTTACCCGATATGGAATTCCACTTTTCATCACTTGGCGGCCTGAGGCATCGCGGGGAGCATGAAAATTAATCATTGGGGAGACCTCTCGCGCGAACCGTTATCCAAGATCCTGAGGTATTTATTATAGGGCGCTGGCTGTTAATTCACGTCGGGTGCAACGTGTTGTATCAACCGAAATGGAAGATCTTTCTCAGAAAGTGCAATTGTTCTCAGAGAAAACTCTCCGAGATATCGCAAAAGGCCCATTAGTGAAATTCACACTGACATGCCAAGACACTGAGTAAGTGAGGTATATCCTCGAACTCTTAAGAACCAATTAATTCTAATGTTATTACACAAAAGGAAGGTGGACCAGGTATGGCAGTCGTTGGTTCAAACACTATCAACAGCATCTATCTCGCCGCCTCATTCTGCAGAGGCATGCAATGCTGCCTCTGCTTTTATTGATGCTGCCTCAAAGTCACAATGTGATGCGACTCGACAGTTGATTTTCTCACAAGAAGCGTGGCTGTCAATATTTGATATTTGCTTGACTCGATATGAAGACGCTAAGCCAAGGCCCGTTAAGCAACTCCTCGCCTCAATCACTGCCATTTTAGCCAAATGTCATCAAGGAGCGACCAGATTTGCTCTTCAAACTTCAATCATTGATGCCCTAATTCCTAGTATTGTTCTTGGAGAGCCGCAATCACGACTGAGGGGGTGCCTGGTATTTCTGGAAACATTCATCAGAAAGGATGCCCTCTTACCCAGCGAGTTTATCCCATTGATTCGCCAGTGGCTTCTGAAGAATACAGATAAATGGCCAACTCTGTTCGCCAGCGATCATGAAACTCTTTCTCCGGGCGAATCAGGCCCTGCCTTTGACACTGCATCCGGCAGCCTGTCTGATGAAACAGCAGCAAGGATCTTTGTTCTGGGGCTTTTGATCCAAACCAACAACAGAACCATGGCTGTGCCAGCTGGAAATGTACTAGCAATTTTAATCCAAAAGATGAAGCCTGAACACTCACCGGGAAAGCTGTCAGCGATGTGGGTAATGCCAGTGAGACGCATGGTCTTACAAAACATAGAAACATTGGAAGACCTCTCCAATAGGCTCCTACAGCCTCTGTTTACCATTGACCCCAATGGGTTTAAAAACTTTCTCGACACTCTCCCAGTCAAGAGCCTTCTTAAAGGTGACATGACCGATGCGCCTGAGGAAGAGCACATGGTTCTTTTCGCTGCTCTGCAGATCGGCAAGAAAGTCAACTTGGTTCATGAAGATTGTGAGTAGCGTTAGTAACCTGGACCTAATGGGAATTTGCTAATCTGCGCAGATATTTTCAATGTTGGCAAAATGAAACTCGACGAAAATGAGGCTCTGGTCATTAAGAGCGACGTGATCGGCAAATTCCTCCTGCACCGTGAGGCCAATATCCGCATAGCAGCTCTCTCGCTGTTGATCACGGCCTTTTCTACAGTAAAGCCATTTACGGTCCAGGCAACGAAAGCTATCCTTCGAGGACTACCCTCGATGCATGCCGAATCCGACGCACACACTCGAGGAGAAATTCTGAGTCTGACTCGAAAACTCTTTGTTCGTCTAAAGGGTGGTATTGTCAAAGATGGAGATATTGCCTTGAAGACAGAGAAAGCAGCCACCAAGCTAGCTCAAAGCCAGGTCAGAAATGAAGCTGAAACTAGAGAGTTCCTAAAGGCATACCTCAAGTTGTTGGGTAATGATCTACGTCTGGCGGCCTCATATCCGCGCCATATTACGGCTCTCAAAGCTCTGAAGCTCCTGCTAGATTCCGGCCTTGATCCACGGATAGAGGTCAAGCCTCATAAAGCAGATATGGAAAATCTTTGGAAAGTCAACGTCAAAGTCTTTGATGCCCATCTACTCCGGTTGTTGACTGATCTCCTGCTTGATCCATTCGAGGAGGTTCGACAAACATCGCTTTCGATCTTGAGTCTGTGCCCTCGAGAAATCCTGCTCAACGGCTTGCACAACAAGACAGACCAACAGTTGGCTGCAGGCATGCGGTTGACAGATGCAATTACCCGAGCGGAAAGCCTGGCAAGTAATACTAGCAGAGCTGATCACGCTGATACTGTTGCACGTCTATACCACATCATCTTCTGTGCAGCTCTACCAGCCAACTCCGGTCAGCCGGCTTCTGACTGGTGGACAACTAAAGCATCTGTTGTCGACACAATTTTGAAAAAGCTAGAGGAACGTCTCCTAGATTCAAAAAGTCTTTTCAACTCCACTATGCGCGAGGCGCCACTTCATGGATATACCTCCGGTCTCAGGTATCTTGTCGTGGTCTGTACATGAGACAACTTGCTGATTGCAATCATAGATATATTGTCCTAATGCCGAGCTTCCACTCCTTGGTATCTGACGGGCCAGGATCTGCTGCTTGGCGGTCTGTCCACGACCGCATCGTTGCAATTTGCAACAAGATCTGGATTGAGGCGAAGCCTTTGCTGTGTATCGATTCACCTGAAGGTCACTCGGATGAGCCCACCGAGGATCTGAACGTGGGACCCAAGGACGCCCTTTCTTACTCCTGGAGATCTCTTCGCGAAGCAAGGCATGTTCAATTTCTTCTGTTAATGATTCATTTTTTTGCTAACTGGAATAGCCTTTTGCTCCATGCCACTCTGGTGAACACTAGTTACGGGCCAAGCGGTAGCGACGGACTCAATCTGACTGATTTTGCAAACATCGGAGGCGTAAGCTTCACACAGCTAGCTGAGCTGCGCCATAGAGGTGCATTCTCCAACGTCTCACAGACATTCGCGACATGCTGTCAACGATGCAGCTCTTCGAAGGATCCGTCAATCCGAGAACTTCCTAGAAGCTGGTACCAGGAAGCTAAATCGACTATCTTTGGATCGGCATCTCAACTCACCCGTCGTTCTGCTGGCTTGCCTGCGTTGGTGACAGGAATTGTTGGTTCTGATCCCGGAACTCCATTCTTCAATGAGGCCATTAATGAGCTTCACGAGATCTCATCTCTTTCCGTGGAGTACGACAAAGAGAGACAGTACTTGGAGCTGCCTCAGGTTCATGCAATGAATTGCCTGAAAGACATCTTCACCAACGCAAAGCTTGGTTCATACACCGAACCATTCATCATGAAGGCACTGACTTTGTCTGCCGAACGCCTAGGGTCACCAATCTGGGCCCTTCGCAATTCAGGACTGATGCTGTTCCGTGCTCTACTCACAAAAATGTGCCGCGTCATTCCCGGTGCTGGACCCGGCTTTGGGGGAAATTCGGGCTCAGAGCCAGGATCTAGGATAACATTCCCTAAGTATCCTGGTCTGCTTGAACTGCTCTCTGGCCTTCTCACAACTGCTCAAAGTGAAGCTGCGGAGGGCACCGAAATTGTTACCGAGCGGGTGTTCCCCGCGCTGGAGCTTGTTGGTGACAAAGTCCCCAGCTTGGATGATCCTACTGATGAGATGCTACGCGGATTGGTTCTTGAGCACCTGAGCAGCCCGGTTTGGGGCGTTAGAGAGCATGCAGCCCGTGTATATGCTTCGTTGCTCACTCGACAACGTATCCCGGAAGACTTGCGCACCCTTGTTAGGCTTCCCTCAAAAATCACCGAGAATTATGTTCATGGTGTTGCTTTGTGTGTGCGATATGCCCTTCGTCGATATGCCTTCACCACTGATGATTTCTGGACATGTGAGTGCACCAAAAAATCTCTGATACTACTTGAGCTAACGATTTGGCAGCGAACCTTGATGCATTTTTCACGACATTGCGCGCTGTATCAGAATTCTTGTTCCGTGTTGGAAAATCGCCGACTGTGGCAAGCGAACTTGTTGAAATTCTCAATGGCACGATGGAGCGGGCGATCCAAGCACAGAGCGAAAGTAAATTTCCCTCTAGTCAATGAAACTATATGAGCTAACTTATACACAGACCAAGTTATTTCTTTCATCAATGAGATGTTCGAGGTTTACGACCTTGATAGGATCTTGAGATATGTCTTTGACGCTTCTCAGGCGGGATGGAATCTCTCAAGCACTTGCCGAGCATCTGCCCTCCTTAGAAGAGCGCTTGCCTGGTGCACAATATTGAAAATGCTTACTTCCCAGCAGTGGGAACAGCTCCCATCATTCTTCAACGGAGTATCACAATTCGATGCAGACGTCGCTCGTTGGATTTTGGAGCAGCTCCACGATTCATTTGGCGAAGACGAGAGGTATAGACAGACACTAGCCAACTTGTATTCATCTGCGATCTTGGGTGACAGTCGACCGGATGTGAAAACCATGGCCGCGTCCAACTTGGCGTCTATTCTGGAGAACTTAATACTATCAAAGTTCGATTCTGTGTCTAGTGTCGGTCTTCCATGGGATGCCATCGCAAATAGCTTCCGCCCCGAAACAGATATCACAACCTGGAATCGAGAGGCAACAGACGCTGAGCTCCGACTTCGGGGCTGTCTACTGGCCATCCGACGATCTGATGGCCAGTCAGCTTTGTCCTCATTAGAAGGCGATATCAACGGCTGGACTATTAAGCTTCGATCTGCCTTGAGCGAAGAGACTGTGAGTTCCATCGTGTCATTTGTCCTATAACTGAGTCACCGATCTAATCCTTTTTAACTTCTTAGGAATTCACTACCCGTTTTGCTGCAGCCGTATCTGTTGGCAGCTTTTCGCGGGCTCTTAGATCCCCTGGCTCCCAGCCACGCGTGGATGCGGTGTTGCTAGATGTTTATTTAGTCTTGTATGACATGCTCAATGACGACGATGACGAAATTCGTGATGTGGCTGCATCAGCTGCCTCTTGGGTCTTGTCACACTCGTCCGTTTCACCTGACGCCGACGTGACCCTGGCACCTCTCAACGCAAGCGCCTTGCTTGCCGACTTCGTTATCGATAATTATTCAAATTCTGCACACCTCGGGCAACGGGTTCTTCGATATCTGACTGGCCAAGAGCCAAGGATCAGTGGATCTGACGAACGCAGCCATTTAGTTGCTGTGTCAGACCAAATCACAGACCACCGCCAAGAGAGTACTGTCCTTTTCATGGAGGAGAAACAGAACCTTTTTATCGATGATGTACGTGAGGTTGACGTTTGGTCGCGAGCTCTGTTGCATTTGACTACCTCGGCATATAATAGGATCTCGTTGGATGAAGCTTCTGCCTGGGCCTTTGACGGATTAACATATCTCTGTTCTCTAGTTGACGCTGAGAAAGAGCCAGATGGACTCCTTGGTTGGGTATCGAAGCCCGAGATCTTCACCCTAGGTCTCCGCGTTATTGTCATCTCGTCTGCTCTATGCTCGCAGGCCTTCCAGGCACCAGAACGCCTGCGGGTGCAGCCAAATGCTTTCCGGGTATTGCTCGAATCGTTCTCAGGCGCAGGCAAATCCTCCTCCATCCATGGGGATTGGTTGTCGAGAATCCAGGATGCATTGGAAATGTGAACTGTAATGTGAATTGGAAGTAAAAAAGATGACTGGACTAAATAGAATGCATTCTTATTGAATATCTCACTTGCCATCTTTGCGAGTCTGCTCTTTCCCCATTTTCTCATTTCACTTGCCCAGTCACCTCTTTCCTCACCTGATACCTCGATGTCCTATTTAAGGCCTTATATCAATATTCACCCTCTTCATCCTTCTCAATCTCTTCAATCTCTTCTTTACTCTACACTCTACATTATTCCATCATTCATTGACGTGCACTACGCACAAAGATTCACTTCCAGCACTCGCTTCGGCAACACGTACCCTAAAAACTTCACATTTGAGTCACTCTGTCACCGCCATTCGACACCATGCAAGGTAACATTCTGGTCGCGGTTCTTCTGACGATAGCGTTGGTCGTCCCATTCTTCGGGTGGCTATTCTACATCTGGTATCGATCTCATATGGCCCGAATGCATCAAGAAGGCCAAATCTTCAACAGAAGAAACCGTGATCGCGCCCAGGCTAACTTTGAGCCCGCTAATGGAGCCGAAAATCCCACAATTGGGCCTTATTTTACTCCTCGTGGGTGGGTTCGACCAAAGACACGAGGGCTATCCCATGATATGCGTCCGCCACAGTATGTCCACCCCCGGAAGCCAATTTATACCGGCAACCCGAGTTCTGACCAACATTTCCAAGGACCCAACCAAGCGAGCGCCCATAATCCTCCTCATGCGGTGAACCAACAGCCGAAACCATTATCCAAACGACAGAAACGGAAACAACGGGCGCTACAAAACAAACAAAAACAGCAACTGGAAAGAGAGCAGCAGCGAAGTCAGAATGAGCAACGGGGCAATCAGAATCGAAACCAGCGCAAAAAGAAAAACACGAACCCAGACCATAGCAGCCAGAAGTCCCCCACTATCCAGGGGGGGCAAGATGAGCAACACGATCCGTGGGGAATCTCGGAAGGACAAAATGACCAAACCAGCAACCACGGTGGAAGTGGTTGGGGGAATGACAAAACCTCACGGGAAAACCAACACAATACTGGACAGAACAACAATAGCGACTGGGGTAACAACTTTAACAATGCACAAGAAGAGCAGAGAAACACTGGACCAGGTTCCTCACGACGAGGCTCACGAATGAATCACAATAGCCCGCGAGAAAAAAGCGCTCAATGGGATAACAGCCACCCTGCTTCTCCAGATATAGCGTCAAGAAACAACGCGGATTTCCTTGGCGGCAATTGGGGTCAAAGTGACGATGGTGAACAGCGAGACAGCCTTTCACGGAGCAACTACTCCAACGAAGATCACAACCGCCGCTATGGATGGGTAGACGATGATGCGAAAAGTTACCACAATAAAATAAAACGCAACCGCCATGCCTCTCCAGAGCGAAGGTCAAGAAAAGAAGCAGATAATCGGAGTCGTTGGGGTCAGGATGACAGCGGCACACGGCACAACAGCTCGTCATGGAGCAACCATCCTAACGAAGACCGTAACCGACACTATGGACGGAAAAATTCTGACAAAAACAGTTACCATAAGCACAGAAAAGACAACCGCCATGCATCCCCAGATCAAAATTCAAGAAGCCCATCAAGCCCTAACCGTGACTGGGGCCAAAATGGTCATGGGGAATGGGGTAACAGCTACAACAGGTCCAGGTCCAACTCCTGGGTGCATGCAGAACAGCACCATGACGATGGCAGTCCGACCTGGAGTCAAGATGGACGTTTGCACCGGGACAAGAAGAAGAAAGAGCGCTGGCAGATTGAATTAGAGGAGAATGAGAAGATACGTCATAGTCGAAGCCGCTCGCGCGAACGTTCGGATGCAGGATGGGACAAGCGCAGTCAGGGGTCCGACTGGAAAGAGACACAGAAGTGGTGAGGTCAAGCTGTGTTTCTTTTCTTTTTGTGGATATGTAAGGGGGGAGTTTCCAGGTATTGTGGATTTGCGTTTATCGACGCTTATATGTATTGCCTGTATTTTTTGCCGCGGAACAATCTATCTCTGTTAGAGGAACTAAGGACTTCTATGAGTTTGGATACTTCAAACAAGTGTGGCGATACATCCTAGAGCAAAGCAGGTTATATCCCAGGCCCTGTACGCCACGAAGTACAGACGAGGAGCTTTTAACAGATGCAAACTGCGGCGGGGTTGGTCGGGATTATCTACAGCAGAGAGATGAGTGACGTGCGAAACGGAGATCAGATCAGGCCTGAGCAATAGGCCATCCGTCGACGTATTTGAGAGGATGAAATCCAAGGAAGGCGTCCTGTTAATACATGTGTTAGGTCGGATCTTGCTGATCGTAGGTATAGTGCAAGGGACAACAAAGGAGGATCGCCGGTAGACCAAACTTCATACAAGACCACCAAGCGCCGGGAGAGTTGCATACAGTAATTCTTTGCACAAGTTGATGAACTTGATACGCAAGAGAGAGAAATCAATCGGTTACAGTGTCGATTGTCCTTTTCAACGGGAAGTGATGGGTCTACCTGTTCGCAATGTGCCCTTTAGCTTTCAAGTATATCACTTCTCCAGGGTTTCATGAAAATGGACACATCTCTAGGAGCGAGCCCTTTGCTCGTCTTTCTAACTGCCAACAAGAACCCCATGGGATTGCAGGTACGAAGGCACGGGTAGTACAAACCCTTGTTTCTCCGAGGCTACGACTTTCTACACAGAATGACCTGGACTCAGACAATTAGATATACCAGATTAACATTCCCAGCGAGGTCCAGATTAGTGGCAGGTTAAAGTCAGAGTGAAAGTAAAAGATATCCGCCGAACGCCAGCCCCGAGCTCCATCAAGTTGAAGATGAAGTTTAGTCTTCTATCGAGCCACGATCTTGTCCACCTCGTCTTTGGCTTCGGTCCATGTCTCCAGGTTCTTTCGAGCCCAGTCCAAGTGACAACGAGCATACGCAACCTAGAAACTCATGTCAGTCTTAGTCATAACTCCTGAAGGGGGGGGGGGGGGCGATTCATACCATGTATCGTCGCAGATCAGCTTCTTTGTCCTTCTGGAAGCGCTTGAGATCGTTCAGCACGCCTGCACTCGCATCCTTGACGTCTTGTTCGGACACTTCTAACGCTTGCTCTAACTATAGATCGATTTTAGTTTGGGAACCATCTGAGAACTCCCACTCCACTGTCCACATACCTGAATCAAACTTTCTTTCGTCTTTCCGATCTGGTCCCGACGTGTTCGTTCGGGATCTACGTCCGCGAACCCATGGATGGCGTGGCTGATGCGACCGAAAATTTTGTTCGCTACAAAGGTCCCGCTGGATGACTTCCGATGAGCGGGGGAGCCTGGTACCGATGGGTCAGACCTCCTGAGTCCTCCGATCTGCGACCCAGGTGCAAAGCTCATGGGATTATCGTGAGTAGATGGGAAGCCGGGGTCAGAGGACATGACAGGACCATTGCCCCCTTCACTGTTGATAGCGGAGGAGGTTGACTGAGAACGAGGTTTGGTCACTCCAGAATGAGGGTTGGTACGGTTGAGATATTGCTCGATGCGCTTGGCTTCGAGTTCACTGCGCTCAAGTGAGTCTAGTAGAGTCTTTTTCTTCGATAACTCATCGCGAGTCATTTCTTGTTGTACCCGCTTAAGCACTCTGTATCGTAGAACTCCGCGAACCACACTAGCAAATTGAGCACTCTCCCGCATAGGTTCCGCAAAGCTTGCGCTCAAAGCCGACGATAGTTCTTCGGTTTCAATATAAGAAGTATCCGCGGCCTGGCCGATCCGCTCGATGGCGGCAGCCACTGTTGGTGACTGTTCTGAAAGAGAGAACCCATTGTAACGCGCTCCCAATTCCATCAGGTCGGCTGAAAGCCCAGACAAATGTGAGAGAGTTCGTCGATTGACCTTCTCGATGTTTCCCTGCAAAAGTAGTTCTAGCTCCCGCGTAGACGCTTCAAAATTAATAAAGTAAGGATCCAGTTCTTCCTCGCTAAGCTTGCGAGCATCAGGGGGGAACCGCCCGAGCATCTCAGATCCCGAGAAGGATGGCGGCTCTGGCTCAGTCGGCGACGTCGGCGATGCTGCGATTCCACTAACTGTGGTAGTCCCAGCTCTGGGCTTGAGCTTTGCGGATGTGGACGGAATCGGGAGCCAGCCATGGGCTGGTGTGGGGTTTGCGGGGTCAAGAGGTGGCGCTTTGAGATTATTCTTTGGGACTGATGCTGCAGGATGGGAGCTCAGAACCTCACTCTGAGCAAGTGTTAGTTAACAAACTCCTAACCAGGAACATCCACTTCAAACCCACCCAGCTAACGTTAGGATCAAGGAATCTCCACCACACTCCATCCTCGCGGATCTCCTTCATACGCCTGCATCGGTTGAGAAACACACTGAGCATGCGCTTTCGGAGATCTATAATGGCCATATCATCTTTGGCTCTGGTGGGTTTAGCTGCGTAGTCTGCCATGCTATGCTTCTCGGGAATCGGCGGAACGACCAAGGTGGGATGCAAATTGACAAGGGTTTGTCTTAATGAGGCAAACTCGGAGTACCGACGGCGCACTTCCAGGTCCTATCAACATTTAGCATTGTACAGTCCTCCATCAGGCACCACTCTCTTACCGCAGTCCGAATTGTGTAAACAATAAAGCCCCCGCCACCCTCATGGTTTTTCCCAGCTTCGGTGATTAAGATTGGCATCTCGGGGTTTTCGTAAAGAATCTGCTCAATCCGACTATCATAGACGCTCTTCCGAGGGTATTGTTCGCTAGCGGCACCAAACTCGGCGTCATCCTCGGGATCGCTAAGATCTTCGGCGTGGGTGGTGTAATCGGGAGGCTCATTGCTGGATTCGCGGCTAGACGGAGGGGTTGGGTCATGTTCGTAGAGAGCTAGCTGCTGTCAGATACCGACCCAAAGAAAGAGGCGTTGGCAAAGGAACCGAGCGGAGATCTTACGGGGAGAGAGTGCGGCTGAATGTAGGGAATCAGATAGGCCAGACTCATGTTGATCAAAGGCCCCGTAGGGATTATTATCTTCGTCGTTCCACATTATGAAGGTACGAAGGCTTGATATGGCCGACCAGCACCGGGAACCGAGTTGGAGAAGCTGTGCCTGGGGATCTGCGGGGCGGGAAGTCGTGGTGTGGCTGGTGCAAGGCGGTGTTACCGATTACGTCATGAAATAGGCTTGGGTTTCAAAATTCGTGGATCGAACATGGGAGAAGGGTGTTTTGAACAAACGGACAACTGAGAAGAACTTTGAAGTTGGGTGTTATAATCTTTTGGTCCCAGGATGTAATGGTCGCGATGGTTCCAGTTTGAACCCCAGATTTCCCGCGTTCGCTAGGCCACAGCACGGTGATCCAAAAGCGGCCAATGCGTACCTGTCACTGTAGCCCCATTCCACTGCAGTAAGCCATTCTTCTCATACATAGCCAGTCATGCTTGGTATATCCCCGAAACAAGGAAGTTACTCTATGCAGCAAGAATTTTTAAAATTAGCTTCATTTGGGAGTAATCAGCTAACAAACAGATGGAGTATGCCGAAGGTTGCTGCTTGTATGGCAAAAGCCCCAAAGCAAAGAGCCTCGCATACGAACCTGTGGAAGGTCCTAGAGCTCATAACCGATTCTCATCTCTCAAAACCTCAGAATTTGTTCCACCGTGTCCTGAACAAGAATCAAAGTCCATAAACATTTCTCCTGTCGTGAAATGACCGTCAAATCCCATCCCACAATGTTAATGTGCCCTGTATCTTACTCGAGATCAGCATCCCAGGCCCCTGCAGCATCGTTGTTGCTTTTTCTCGCCCGCTCTGCGTTGCGCATTGCTGAAAATGCTGGTTCCATTCCATTAAACGAGCTCTGAGAACGCCGTAGAGTTGGATGGGGTGGCAGAGCTGGAGACTGAGGAGATTGTGGAACAGAGAGCGAGAAAATCCTGCGAGTGGGCTCGTCGGCAAACGAATTAGGGCTGGGGTCGTAGCCAGATTCATCTCTCGACCCATGAACATCACTGATGGTAAATGAACGGTTTACACGATGGGGACGCAGCTCCTGGGGGCTGGGCAAAGTGATATTGGGTTGGTTCTGGCGGCGTTGACGTAGGTTCAGAGGGAATTCGTTGTCAATGGAACCACTGGCGGAAGTGAGAGCGATCGATTCAAGTTCGTCTGTTCTGAGGTGACGTTCAACTTGTTGTTCCGAAGTGTCGCTGCCAGGCCCCGGCACAAAGCTAGGAGCAGTAGTACGGGTGAGACCGACTCCAGTATGCGGACTTGCAGAGGAGGAGTTGCAGCGAGAGTTTCGAGTTGAAAGATGGGTAAATTGCATACTGGGACCGAGATCAAGAACACTGATCTCACTTTCGCTCAGGACTGAAGCACGGGCTCGCATCGAGGTTCGCGTTGAGTGTGGGACCGTGGGACCAGGTTCTCCGGTGGGACTCAAGCCTGCAATTGAGACCTGGGCCGTGTCTTGAGAATACATTTCACTGGCTAGGTCAGACTTGGGTTTGGTGGACTCTAACATCTTGAGACGCAAGGCCTCAAGCCTCAGAAGCTCGAGTTGGTCACCGACGCTTCGGAAAGCCAAGTGTCTATCAGCGTGCTCGGAGTTAATCTTTTCAATCATTGATCTGGCACTAGCCTCGCTAACGTTAATAGCCTCTGGACACAACCTGGATAACTGCGGATCGAGTTGGCAAGGGTCATGTTTGATGAGCCCCCGACGTTTCGGAGACGGCACGGTGCGTTTCATCTTGAGATAACTGCGTGGATTTATGAATGAGTTGCGATTGAATGAAGGTGCGCGTGGTAATTGGGGAGTCAGTTGTGTGACAGTCATTACTCACACGCACTCAGCCCTAACATGGAAGGGACTGTGCAGGGTTGGCACTTTCCTTCCAAGGGCCTCTGTGTCACATCATTTCCCATTCTCTCTATATCTTAATATGCACATTGATGTCAAATATCACACAGTTCCTTGATCTAAATCCCAAGATGATTTTGGATATGTATGTTGACAAGTGAATCGATACATGACATTTAAAGGCAGGACGATGTGCCAAGATCCAGTACAAATCCCCCCTTAAAAAAAACAACGACTCAAAGGATGTGAAAAGTGTTTGTCAATCTTTCATTTGGATGCATAAGCTCTCCCTGTCTGACCTACGGAATTTGACTCCACAAGGTTTTGGACACCTTCCCTCCCGTTGATAGGATATAGTCAGCATGTGTACAGTGCAAATCGCCACACGACTACAGAAATCAATATTGAGAGACTAATAGGGCTAGATGTGCTACTGAAATGATTGTAGGAACAGTTTGGTAAGTTATAGGTGAGAGTCTAGGAGTCTGGGAATGGCTTAATGTTAAAACGCTGCTTGTGAAGCAAGGTGTAGCAAATTTGAAACGGCTACGTCTACATTTATGCTCAATTTGCCTGTGAAACTTGAAAGAGTGTCTGATACTGAGCCGGACCGCTGTAAGTGGATACCAATGGGAGAAGAAGGAAGAAACCCCACCAGGCTGCATAGAATGAGGTCACCTTGTGTAGACACATTGCTAGTAGTTACTGCTGATGAAGACTGGGTGTAGAGTCAGAGCCCAGACATGTTTTGGTGCGACGGGCATACTATAAGAGAGGATAGGTCATGTCGGTCTGTTTCTTATGTGTGCAAGACCTTTGTGAGGGAGCTGATAGTTAAGCAACAAAGAAGTGATGAAAGTCTTGCTTTCTCTACAACTTCGCTGGATCTTTACGTTGGGCTGAGTTTGGCATTGTTCTTACTTTGATTTGTACATTTGACTGAAGAAAACAAGAATCACATTTTTTATTTTGCATGGGCCACCTGCCCATCCCCCTCTCTCTAGGTAGAAAAAGAACCCCCCTTCCCTTTTCCCGTCCGCCTCTCCCCTACCCTTTTTTGCCCCATCATGTTCATGGTTCGGAGGACATGATGTCCTCGGACCCCACACGCAGCTCCACGACAGGGAGATCATCGGAGGAATCCTCCCCCTCACCCCCCAGAGGTGAGACCAAATTGGAACTGAGGGTCGATGTCCATGCCATCGCCCCATGGATCTCGACCCACGAAGATGCCATCTTTGGGGGCAGCATTACCACCCGAAATCTGTGAGGAGTCGTGAGCGGCGTCGAACGACCAAGAGGGTTCCGTGAGCTTGCTGAGGGAGTCGACCTGCGATCCCCCGTTCTCGTGCTCGAAGTCGATTTTCTTACCTTCGCTGCCACCGTCTTCCGAGCCCGATGTACTCTCCTCAGCAGAAGAGTACAGGTCATTGCCGAGAGAGTCTTGCCCCCGACTCACTCGAGGTGTCACTCCTGCTGGGGCCAAGGTAGACGACCCCTTGCGGAGTGGAATGCCAAGATTGCGACCACCATCCTCTGAAAGTGATTGGGAACCACCGGGACTGCGGGAGCCCGAGGAACTGCCAGAAATGCTCGCCTCGCGGTTCCGGTAGCTGTCAACCAGCTCCCGCAGCTCCTGGTTACCCAATGCATGGTCGGAGCGACGGCGGTAGAACAGCAGGTATGCACCCGCTGTGATGATCGACTGCAGGTTTGTCACAGTCTTTGCAGAGGTATCTAATATGCACATTAGTAAGACAATCTTCCAATAATCATGTCAATGGGGGGATAACGGACCGTTGCAATAGACCCAGGCGCCAGAGACAAAGTCCTTGATGTAGGCAGTGTAGTGGCCACCACCCATTCCACCCATGTGGTTGTCGACAGCAATTAAATCGTACACGGCACTCTTTCCATCCAGAGGGCCTTCCACTCGGCTGCTCAAATCCAGTCCCTCGAAGGGGAAGTCAATGAGAGTGCTGATTTTGTGTCCGTTCCTGCCGCGGAATTGGCTAAACCGCTTAAGCTGGACAACCATAATATCCGGGGTTCTCCAAAGCTCAAACTTCTTGGTGGCCGAAACGTGGGTTTTGCACTGAGGACAAAACCAGCTATCTGCCCGAGAAAGAATCTCCTCCTTGCTGAACTCATCAAGACATTGGTCCAGAGAGACATTTGCTAGCTTGGGCTTTTTCTGGCTTATCATCATGGTGTGATCAAAGACAGTCTTGATGTTCATGTAGGTAGGGCGACCGCGGAGCTCCTCAGGGTCACGTGTCTTGCCGCCGAAAAGGGAATCGACGGCATCGGGAGACCAGTCGAGAAGAATGGCATCGCCTTGTCGAACAAGCGACAGTGATGAGTTAGGTGTCGAATCTGACTCATCTGTATCGACGTCATCATCGAGGTTATCACCTGCGGAGCTTTTGGATGAAGCACCCGATCCCTGGCAAAGATTAGCGAGCTGAATCTGAACGGACAAGACGGAAGAAACAAACCTTGGTGGAAGTGGGATGAGGTGGGATGCGAGAGGAAATTGAGGGATAGCTTTTGGTCGTGGAGATATTACGTCCGTCAGGCAGGGTGGTATTTGTGCTCATTACTGTTGCATCAAAGAGTGACAACAAACTGGCAGAAATCTTGCCAGCAAGAAGATGCTGAGGGGTCGTTACAGATTCAGAGTCAGAGTCGGAATCCGACTCATCAGTGTCGTCTGTAGGCTTTGAAGATTGCTCAGTTTGCATAGAAATGTCAACCATGCTGTCTTCGCCGTCAACAGAAGATGTTTTGATTCGGGAATCTGCTGATCGTGCATCGTCCTCGTTTGTGACCACAGTGTCAGAGTCATCAGTTGCATTATCGTCATGGCTGTTTTCTTCTGCAGCCAGTATGTCGTTTGTAGTCATGTTATTGGCCTGAGTAAGGAGCTTGCGGTAAATGGCCTCAAGATCTTGAGCTTCTTCGCCAGAAAGACGTATGAAGGATGGCATCCCGAAAAGTTCACGAGTGGCCTCTTTGTTCTTACGCGGAACAAGCTTGCGGTGGAAGACGGGCACAAGGACTGCATCATCATTGGAGGTAGAGTCGGAAGAATTAGTGGATGATGGAAGAGGTCCAAGATCAAAGAACACAATAGTGTCTTCTTGAGTAGTGCGTAAGCTGCCGAAAGTGTCGTCATCGTCACAAAAAGTTTGCCAGAAGGAGTTGTGCAATGTCTCTGCTGCAAAGATTCGTTCCCCATCAATTCCCATCTTTTCGGCAACAAAGTCCTTCCACGTCTTCAAGGGTTCGTGTTCATCGAGCCGAACTTTCAGAGATACAGGTGGGCCATCAAGAGGGTAAAAGATAATAGTTCGATTGATGAGCGTCGGACCCGTTGGGATGGGCACAGTGACCATTGTGAAAGGGTCCATGATGATGCTGGTCTTTTCACAATTGTGGCAAATCAGTGTTGACTTGTACATTCCTGCAAAGAGATCGGTGATAACGGAGGCGTTGCGGGCCTCATAGAGGTCCCAACACTTCTTTCCAAAATCCTCAAGAGCCTTGCGGTTGTGAATCATCTCGTCAGTGGAATCAGGGATTACAGTAGATGGCTTGCTGCCAACGATGCGGCTTAGATCTTCCGATAGTGCATCAAGGAGAAACATCACAAATTCCTGACTATCATGTTGCTCATAGCCAGCAAAGTCTTCACGTTGCCGACCAGCGGCAGAACGAAACCTGTATGGATTGACCGATCTTGGCTGAGGGTCCGATTTGTAGAGCTCCTGAAGCAAGTTGGCCCATTGCTTGGCAATAGTGCCGCCACAACCAAGGACGTTGGTAGGATTCAGCTCTGGTTTGTACATTCCGCCTGTAGATTGAGATTAGCATTGAAAGACCTCGTTCGCAGTATCCAACAGTAATGTGGGCATACTCACTGAGGAAGTAATAAGATAACTCCTCAATGCTTCGCACGCATTGCAACGCGGAGTTCATGTAACAAGTGTTACCAAGGTTTTGCAATCCCACAATAAGCTGTTTACCCTTCCGACCTCGGGAGATGAGCCCCCTGATTGGATCTGATCCGGGGATAGGAGTTGATCTGCCACTGGATTGTGTGCTCTTAAGCGCGGCTTTAGCAGCGGACGCTTTGGCAACAGCATCGTTCTTCGGTTGATCCACAGGGATACCCAGACTCTTCAGCGTTTTGACGGAGGCTTCAGACACCCAATCTCCACCTTTGTGTCCGCCAACCTGCTCCTCAAGAACAACGCAATTTGTCACACTGAGACCAGCCATTTCCAAGGTCATACGACCATTGTAGTTTGCATTCTGAGTCTGATCCTTGACATTCTCAAGCAACACCCGGTGGCTCCCCTCTGGAAGTTCGAGAAAAGCATTCAGATCGAAAAGAAGCTTGTCATTGGGATTCGAAATTAGAGCCAATGGGGGAGCTGGCGATTGGCTGCGGGAGGCAGCTGGGGTTGCTGAAGCTGATGCAGTGGTGCTGCGAGGTAGCTGAAGAATCTTCCAAACTCGAACTTTGATCGACATATCGATACCAGTCTGTTCTTTGGCATCCTTCAACCATTTTTGGTAATTCGTCTGACGACTGGCCAGGATCTTAACAGATGGCTTGATGGTTTGTCTCAAGATTGTTGGAGTGGTACCCACGGCGGGGTTGGCCAATTTGAAAATGGTGAAAATCGGAGGATAGGTCTCATATTCGATTTTTTCGGCATCACCGGGTTGGCTAGTGTTGTGAGCGTAGCGAATAATCACCGGTGACTGGTCGGCGAGGCCATACCACTTCTGGATCAGGTCCCAGCCATGTTCTGGAATTATCGCGAAATCCAGAGCGTCGTGCAAACCAGGGCGCAAAGGGACAAAATTCTCACCGGTTTCGTCTTTGAAGACAGGCGTGGCAGGGTCGGTGTCGAGCATTATGTTCAAATTGTTGACGGGACCAACGTCTCCCTCCAATGATCCTTCGTCCATGTGATCTGCATGAACCGTAGTGCGAGCGAGCACCTTCTTCAGCCAAGCCATTGAGACCACAAATCCCTTTTGTCCATCTTTCAACGGCGCCTCCATCAGCGCATTCACCTCAGCCACTTGCTCATCGATCGTAGGAATATCGCTTGATGTGGGCGATGCTGGTCCGGGCTGCTCGCCAGCCAAAGATTCCGGCCTGGTCTTGTCATTGCTCGAAGTGGTAGGATCTGTAGATTCATTTTTTGTGTCGTCGTATGTGCGAGGAATAATATATGTCCGCACGGTATTGCAGGCAGTGCTCACGCCTCCTTCGGGTTCGGAGTCGGTAACCTCAGATGCCGGGCGCTTCTCGCCGGGAGAAGGAGATCGTCCATGGGATGGAGGTGTGCCCTCTCGAGTATCGGAGGGCATGTCGGAATGGTCGCTGGAGAGGGTGAGTCCGGCAGTCGCGGTCGCGGGGGTGAGCGAGCGGCCAGGCGGGCTTCCGGACTGAAACTGCAGATGCGCCGGCACGTAGCGAGGCGGGGACAACGACGAACTCTGGCCGCGGGAAGAAGATGAGGATGTGTGGCGAGAGTGTGGAGGCTCGGAGCGGCCGTGACGTCGAGCCCGAAGGCCTGGACTGGTGCGAGGCTCTGGGGAAACTTTTCGTCTCTTTGGTGAAGACGTCGTGGCGATGAGCTGCGCACCTCGTGTCGCAGCTCGGGGCAACCAGGGGAAAATAGAAGACGGGATCAAAGCAGCACCCTTACTTCCGTTGGGTGGAAGTACAAGGGAATTTGGGTTGTGAACGAATTCGACTGGCAGAAAATCTCAAGTTTAGTAATTTTTTTTTTCCGGAGCGGAAACGAATCCCAGGGCTATCCACATACACAGACTACCAGCGTCTATGGATGAAAGTGAAAGATACTTTGTGAAAAAAAAATTTTGAAAAAAAGGAAAGAGTACAAGTAGACGGTTTGAACCGATGAAGATATGAAAGATGTATGGGGAGAAGAGAAGAAATATTAAAAAGTTGAAGCTGTGAAGCTCTTACTTTATACTTGAAGGTACAGCATTCAGAGTAGTTCGCACAACAGAAGAGACTTGTGAATGGGATTGATTGTCAATATAGCTATTGTATTCTTGGAATTGTTTGTGGGAATTCTGGTTCTGTTCCTATTTTGTATTGCCATTTCATTGCAGTGTTCTTAACCTATTGTTGATGGATTAGGGCACAGTGCCCTCACTGTCGTGCACCACTCATCAAACAGGTTAGACTATCCAAATCATCATAGTTTTATTAGCTTTGTTAGCACAGGAACTAAGGACATTTTTGCATTTTCTCAACTGCACTTAGCTGCTGTTTATGAACAAGCCTAGCTATAGTGAGATGGATGCACTCAAAAAAGAAAAAGAAAAAAACATTAGCTTCCAAATCAACGGTCCTCCATGTAAAGCCTGTACATGGTGTTGTTCTGCGCTCCTGAGAGGAGGTATTCCACATCAGCTCGGTAGAATACGGGGGTAGCCTGGTCATTGCGACCCCATGCAACGACAGCATTGAGGTCACCTTTGAATCGCTTGGTGAGGTCAAGACAGTGCTCACAGAGCATCAGTCCACACCCACGGGATTCTTCCTCACAATCCACCACCTCTGCGTAAGCATCAATTGGTTGAAGCGCCTGGCAAGACCCGAATGCGGGCTCTCGGCACAGGCAGCACCATTCGTAAAGGGGACTCGGGAAATACGGGCCAGCCTTTCCAGTCTCGGGGTCAGTCAGAGCTTCAGTTGCTTGATGTAGAAGTGTTGCAGCACCGGTTCGTACTGCTTCATTTGGGGACAAAGGCCCGGGGAGTAGATCGAGAATGTTGTGTGAGCATTTTATGATTTTGCATCGATCCCATGTACAGGAGACACACATTCGACTTTGATCTTTTCCTTCGCCGGTGTGGCCATCCTGAAGCTCGACGATTGTGCCGTCGTCAAATGTCCAGACCTCTGGGTTGCGAGGACCGAGGCCATTGATGCCATACGCAAAGTTGTTACACCAGTGGCAGGGTGGAGATCCGCCACTGTCATCTGCGAGAAACACCACCGGATGAGCAAGTTCGGTCCAGATTCGATGGGTGTTTACGGACTGCGAAGCAATGGTATTGGAGACAGTGGTGTGAGTGGGTGACTCAGCGGTGTCAGAAATACCAGTCGACGAGGGCTCCCTCTTCGAGGTCTTCGGGGTGTCGTCGTCTGAATCAGTGATAACAATCGCCTCATGTGGCCTCAGTCCCTGAACAACAGATGGCCGTACGTGGCTGAATAAAGGGGAGGAGAGCTCCCAATCATTCTCTGTGGGATTGATCTCTGGCGTCTGAATCTTTGGCTGACTAGCTGAGGAGCTGATGTTCTCACTCGGTTTAAATGCCTCAGAAACGTCGGGTTTTGGGGATCTACTATCGGGTGAGTTGGAATTTGCTAGAGAATGAGTCTTTGGAGAAATGCTTGGCTCGCTTGGTTCGGTTGCGGAAGAGAGTAGAAAGGGTGGGTATCTAGCTGGTCCAGCAACACATTCGAATCCATGATTCCGGCATTCAAGACAAGGCTGGGAATGATCATAATCAGCATGCCGATATGAACAAAGCTTTCGACCTTTGCAAATTTCGCATGATCGCTTCCGTTTGGGTGGTGGGCTCACAACGCAAAAGACATCATCGATTTCGCATGTTGCGCAAGGATAGGCAAACGGATCGGGGTCAGATGCAAGAGAGCATTCAATGCCTAGTTCTTTGCAGGCTTCGCATCCTCTTGCTGGAAGCTCGCTATCAGCAGGCAGGACATCAGCAGTTGTCGTTGATTCCGAGCCCTCGACCTTGGCTGTTTCTTTCTTCTGTGGTGATTCTGCCAGCGATTCCTTGTTGCGACGTCGAAGGCTGTATCGTGAATTTGGTGATTCTGTCTCGGGATTGACGGCCCAGTATCTGTCCCAGCTGTCGGGCTCACTATGTTGCGAGGGTGTCGAAGGGAGGGCGGAGTCTTCTTTTCCCGTGTCTGGGCTCAGTCTAGCACGGAGCGCAGGATTTGGAGACGCACTTCTGGCCCTTTTGTTAGATCGAGGGTCTTGATCACCGTCATGGAAAAGAGATAGCTTTCGTTTGGTGGGTGTTTGCATGCTGGAAGGTGTGTAGTCTTCATCCTCGTCATTGTCATGCCACGAAGCAATTGCAGCAGCACGCTTGGAGGCACGTTGTCGTAAGTGATATGGGCCAGTGAGATGTGGAAGCATGCAGAATTTGTCCGTGCTACGGTCAAAGAGTTGCTGAGCTCGTGCGAGTCTCTCGAGAGAATATGCCATGGCGAATAGCTAGCTGTGAGCTATGAAGAAGCCGCAATTTGATCTAAACGGTCACGAACGTAACAGTCTCAAGCAAGCAATGCTTACAGCCTGGTCAGATCAAATGACAGAGGACTTTTTGTAGCTTTGAAAGCCACAAATCTGGGATTTTCTTGGAGGACAAAAAGCACTCTCACTCATTTGCTGAGTTTGACTTGAACGTATCGTATCAATCGTTGCCCTGAGACGCTTGATTCACGCCGAAAAAAAGTATGAAGAGAGTGGTGGTCAACTCAAAGCACTCAATGGCTCGAACAGTACACCAGAAAGCAAATTAGAAGTGAAGATGAGATGACAGCTATTTAAAATTGGAGCGGTAGTCCATAGATAGGAGGACGAAAGCAGTGTTAATTGATTGGATTGTGGATGATAGTACCTAAGTGTCAACAGGAGGAACAATAGAATTGAATCGAATCGTACTCATGTCTCGATGGGTAGTTGCAGCAACAATCGCTTTGGAACATACAATAGTAATCCAAGAAACAATAGCAATTTCCATCTATTCATATCAACACGCAATTGTAACACAGATAGCAAAACACACATAATCTCATGCAGCAAAATTACATCAGTTTATCGGCAGCATTTAATGTGCCGCTTGGGTTTCTTTATAAGCCCATATAGTGGGTTAGGCGACACGAACCTTGGATAAAAAGTTGGTCTGCGCAGGATCTGTGAGTATTTCAACCGGTGTGGTCACAGTAGGGGACCACGCGGCAGCACACAGAGAGATTTCGGAAGATTGGCCGGGCAGAGCCATTATCAAGACACGTTGGTGGATGGGACTCTCAGCGTCAGGCTTTGCGACTTCGAGCTTTGCCATTTCGATGTGATTCTTGGCTAACAGATTAGAGCCATTGAACCAAGCTGTGACACACAAGAAGGCAACCAACCCGAATTCAACTAAAAGCAATCTCATTCCTGTCAGGAGTCGCTTCCAATGAGGGCAAAAATACCGAGAGTGTCCGTAACCATTTCTGGCTGTTTTGTCATGGCAACTGACTAGGTCTTGAGTGGGGAAGGGAGATCAGAGATGGATTCTGAAGAGCTAGAAGTCGAGCTTTTTTTTACTGTCCACATATAGCTTTTCTGGATGGGCCAAGACGACATTTTTGTCAACGGAATCTCGATCTGTCTCTTACACAAAATATGCAATCTTTACCACCTCCACACACATCTAAAAAGACATTTGAAATAGACGACCATTGGGAACTACATTGCAGGGCTACCACAAGCGACTGGCTATCCAAATGATGTTGCTTTCGATTTCTCTAGCTTTCCACCAACAAGCCTCTACCCATAGGTCAAAAAAATGAACTTACACCCCTAAGACTGAGAATTTGGAATTGAATTCTGTCAAAGGTTGGAACTGATAGCCTCAATGCGGCGCCTTTTTGTTTGTTTAGTCCTGATGCAGAGTTCTAGGATAATCTTGCCTTACTCACTCGGCCACACTTGCTTTCTTTTTTGCCCCCACTACGCACAGTTGTACGACAATATTCACCATGTAGTAGGATTGGCGCCCGTTTATTACCAGCCGTGAGGAGAAGTGTGAAAAGTTTTTCTTCTTGTTTTTCTTCAGCCACCTACCACTGGTTCACATTCCTCAAGGTCCACAATCCAATTCAATTTAGTGGGGCCCCTGCAACATACCTCCAAAGACATGGAAAAAGACAAATAAAAAGAACGTTCATGTTTTCGTTTCAGAAGAATAGGCCCCGGGGATTTGGAATGACTTGCGTTCTCAAGGACAAGGGCCACACGAGTGGCCGTGTATTCATGTTGAAGTGATGGCGAAATAACAAAAATTTTATGCCTTAATACCTTGGAACCTCAGGTCAACTCCTATCCCAAACGGTCTTAGCCCCCGTTTCGGTGGAGGCACTGTCGACTTTTAAGGTTGATCTGTCCACGGCCCGACCACGTGCAGGAGTAGCACAAGGTTATATTGCTAATCGAGAGTTTCAAAAATATAGGGCATTGGTTCAAATTAATTGATGACCCCATCGAAACAGGGGCACATAGTATTAACACAGTCCAGAAAGACAACTGAAGAGAAGAAAAGCAGTAGAAAACAAAATCAAGTAGCGCCTGTGATGCAATCAGTGGCCATGTGTGTGAGGGTAAATCACTCAGTTGGAGCCACAGCCAATATTCTCAAATGCGCCAGGGTATCCATCCATGCACCGGAAATGCAATTATAAAAAAAAGGGAAGATGGCGACGCCGCAGTGGCACGCTCCATCCCGTGAAAGTAAAAGTATCCAATCCAAAAAGTTACTTTTGACAGACATCGGAAAAAAAAATGCCACTCTAGGCCCGGAAATCGTACATGCGAACTTGGTAGTCATCACCACCAGTGATGAAACGGCTGTCGCTCAGGCCAATGCAGTTGACAGCTGCACTGTGACCTTCATAGGTATCCTGGCCGGTAGGAATCCGAGGATCCCAGATCTTGACCATGCGATCCATGCCACCAGAGGCAATCCGTAGAGTATCAGCGGAAAGAGCCCAAATACCTTCCAGATGTCCGAAGAAGGTACGAAGGCATCTTCCGGTGCTGGTTTCCCACAATCGGATGGTTGTGTCAACACCGCTGGTGAGGATATAGCGCGGCGGTTCGATGCGGCCTTGGTCCTCGTCAAAGGAGGAGCCGAACGGTGAATTCGGGCAAGATAGAGACTTGGCCTCGAGAAGAGGGGAAAGCGTGCTCAAGATGTTGTCGCCGTTTTGAGAAGATGTGCTGACATGGTCGTTCTCGCAGTCGGCGAGGTGATTCTCCAGTTCAATCTCTCGGGGCAAAGCAATGACTTGCTGAACGGCACCAATATGGTTATGGAAAACTCGGATGCAAGACTTGGTGTCCAGATCCCAAAGGCGTGCGGCACCATCGTCGCAAGCGGTCAAAACTGTGCGCGAAGCTGAATCGATCTTGACGGCGTTGACACCCTGTGGGTGGGGAAGAACGAAAGTAGACTTGTCCTTGAAATTCCAAATTTTGACAGTGCGATCGACAGATGCGGATGCAAGAAGAGTAGAATCAAAGTGGAGGGCAATGACCGCTTCGGCGTGGCCATTGTACTTGGAGATACATTCACCTGTGCGCCAGTTCCAGATTCTGATGCTGCGATCCAGGCTACCAGTGATCAATTTGGTGTCATCGAACTGGAGGCACCGCACGCCAGCAACGTGGCCTTTGAGGGTTCTCAATTCTTCGCCAGTGTCTGTGTCCCAGATCTTAACTGTAGCATCATAGGATCCAGTCATCAAGATGTTGTCCTCGAACTGCAGACACATGACACTGTCCCGGTGGCCCTTGAAGACTTTGACTGAGCAGCGCTTGTGCTTCCAATTCATACCGACAACAAATCGATCCCGATAAACCTCCTTCCACGGACGGTAACGGGTTTTGAAGTAGCTCTCGTCCTCTTCGTGGGCCTGGTGAAGCGAAGCACAGTGGCGCTTTGCAAGAGCGGAGACATCATCATCGGATTCCATCTTGCGTTTGCCACTGGCTGCAAGTTCGACTATGGAACAAGATTCGATCATTGCAGCTTCAGTAGACCCAACGGCAGGCTCGTTGTTACCCCAGTTAGTGGCACGCAACTCAATCTCACGCTTGGCTTCGCGCAGACGCTTGCGGTCCAGAAGAGGAAGACCCCAGCCACACTTGTTACACTTTCGGCGGATATGCTGCTCGCACATTCGGTGCCACACCACATCATCGTCGGCGAGGGCTCTCCAGCGGGAAGAAACTTGTGCTGCTCGGCACAACGAAGCTGTATCGAGGTAACGGAGGATTTTGAAGGACAGTTCTGGAGGGAGAGCACCGAGGAAGTCGATTCGGATAAGTTCACGGACACTGGCGGAAATGTAGGATAGCTGGGGGAAGCAGGATTGCGCTAAAATTCCCTGGAGCATGAGAGTTCGCTGCTTCGCTGGAGCAGCGGAGTACAAAGACCACACATGGGCAATACCTTGCTGGTCACTTTGAGGAAGTAAATTCAGTTCGGACTGCAGCTGGGTCATCGACTGTTCATCGGCTTGGCGTCTGCCACATTTTGAGTCCGGTTGATGACGATAGCAGTAGCTGGCATTGACGAAATTTTGCTCGGACGGAGTTGGAACTTGCGAGCGGAAAGGCGCATATTGTCGCGGCTGATATTTTGCGAGGAACGGAGCCACATTCTGCCTCGCTAGTTCCTCCAGGGTTTGGGTGGTCTTGTCGGTGTCTTTGCGCTGCAGAGAGCGGTTAAAGTCGGCGTTCGCACTCACCCCCGAATTTGCGAAAACCAGACTCTGGTGTGTGGACGAATGTGCTTGTGCATCGGCCATGGTGACTGATCCCGTGTCGCGCGGTATGAGGGGAGGGGACAGCCGCTCAGACGAGTAAGTCGCGTGTGATGTACCGAGATAAGAATAAATTTGTTTTACAGATATCCTTGTTCTCTTGTTGAATTGTTTGTAGCGAAGAGCTCGAAGGAAATATAGCAAGCAACGTTGCGATGGGCGCCCTTGAAAATTTCCCGGAATCCGAGAGAGGGGAGAGTCAAGGGCTAGTCATCGATTGCGACATGAGGACCCTGAGAGAAAGATTGAAGTAACAGCGTTGTTGGACTGTCAAATGAAAAACAACTGGAATGTTAAAAACAAAAGTTAAAGGTAAAAGGGGGATCGACAGAGGTGTTTAAATCAGAAAATTCTTCAGAATCTGGGAAAATTGCACAATTTGGATCTTTCTACGCAATCGCCATCGCTGAGTCCGGGGAATTGCGTGATAGCAGCAGAGCGGCGAATTCGTGATCAGGGCGGTGAGGCATCACGTGACAATGATCCGCATGGCGCCATGTCCGCGCCATCGCACCTCAATTGATCATTCCCTTCGCATCCGACAGGCTGATTCGCCTTCACTGGCTTTGACTGGGGTGGAACGGGGCATTTAATCTTCTGTCTTATTTTTGA